TAGGGGAAGGGAAAGAAAGGAAAAGAAAAAATATGAGAAAAGGAAAAAAATGGAAACAAAATCTTTGCAAATAGGGAAGGGTGGAGGGGGTGAAGGGAGAGCAGGGGAAGGGGGTAAAAAAAAATAAGAAGAACCAATATACTCATGTAATGGTACAAGATCCCAATGATGAATGTAACTATTTTATACCTAAAATGTACCAATAAAGTTAATGGGGGAAAAAAATAAGCACATTTAAATAATAGGTTAAAATCTTCCCCTTGCATCAGTTATTGATCAGTCATATAGAATACATACCTTTCTGTCATGTGGGAAAATAACTTGCAGATTTGAAGTAGTAACTATACGTTACACTATTTTTATGGGTTGTCAATTCCTTGTATTTTTTTTTTAATAAAATGTCGCCTCTTTGACCTTGCTTGCCCTCTACTGATCTCTACTGAAATCAGAAATGTGCTGAATATACATTTTGGCTAGATGGCCAATGTTAGAATAATTGAGCCCAAAACTGAGTATTGGATATAGAATGAATTTCTGGGATATAGAAATAAATTTAAAACTTAACCCTAGAAACACTGATACAGGACTCCATCATCAGTGACAATACTCATTACCTGCTACAGTTTGCAATTCTACATGGTAGGTTTTTTAATCTAATGTTAATGGGAGAACAGTTTGTTGCCTTTTTTTTTTTTTGGTACGGGGGATCAAACTCAGGACCTTGGCCTTGCAAGACAGGCGGCGGCACCACTGAGCTAAATCTCCAGCGCACCTTTTGTTTTGGAGACAGTCTTGCTACATAGTTAAAGCTGGTTTCAAACTCACCATGATCCTCCTGCCTCAGCCTCCCAAGCTCTAGAATTACAAGCATGCACCACCATGCCTGGCCTTACCTTCCTATTTTCTATAAAATGTTTTCCTTCATAATCTGTTTTCTTTATGACTGGATCAAAGATGATTTATTAATAAGTAGTAGAGTTTTTCCAGATGCATGAAATTTTGAACTGACAGGGTTGGTAGCTTTCTTGTTAATTGGTTATCGTGGCATTTAGTCTTATGTCTAGAATGTTTATATTTGAAACTGAATATTGTTACATTAATCCTAATTGACCCACCTTTTACAATTAACATTATATTGATTTCATAATTTTGGTAATTTATAAAGCTATATGACCTTTGACCATTTACAGTATTGTTATACCAGAAATAATATTACGGTAAGCATTCTATAATGCAAATCTTTTTTTTTTTTTTTTGGTACCAGGGATTAAACTCGGGTCCTTGGGCTTGCGCAGCAGGTGGTGAAACCACTGAGCTAAATCCCCGGCCCCACTATAATGCAAATCTAATCACTGATTTGGGTTAAATACTGAGGCTAACATTGGCGCATCTAAAAAATTACAGTTTTTTCCAATCTTTCTTACTCCCACCCTCTCAGGCTATTGTCCAACAAATCAAAATTTTACAGTTTGCTCCGTCTGTATACTTCTTTCCCGAAACATTTTACGTACAGTTCTAGTTCCTTATTTCTGGTTTTACATTCATTCTGTTCTTTCTCAATTTACGTAAGCAACATTTATGGAATATTTTATGCAGGATGATTTTCAGCCACATAAAATTTTAAAACTGACTGTAAATCCCAACAAGGACATCACCTCCTTAAGATTTTTCCCTCTCTCCTGAAGCTTTCTTACATTTGTATTCTCATGTTTTCTACTTCCTAGTTTCACAGTAACTCATCACATTGTTGCATAAGGAATTGTTTGTGTCTATCTCCTTTGCCAGATTGAGGGCTCTTAAATTAAAAAACTGTTTTCTTTGTTTCTGTATCCCTGAAGAGCCTGAGATACTGCCTTAAATTAGCAGTTACTACATTACATAAGCATTTAACTTATGGAATTCTACACTACATGCTAAGAGAGAAATAATTGATTGTACTCAAAAAGTGTATATCTATGACTGAGCACATTATAAGAAGTATGAATCTTTTGTTTCTTACATCACTATCTGTTCCCACATGCCTCTCATCTCACCAGGATTGGGTGTTTCTCCTATTGAAGGTATTTTTTATAACATTGTACCTAAAACACCCAACCACTTGCTAAGATGATGGAGAAAAGACCAGCTGTGTTGGACTTGAGAGGTCGTATGCTAATCTGTAACACAGTGCTTTTCAAAGTAATTATCAAGGGTAACTTTGACTAAACTGCTTTTCACTGTATGTAATACACTGAGTTTGAGGCCTAGTCCTTTATGAAAGTTAGAAATGCTACTGTACTATTCTTCTAAATGAACTATTTGTCCTTTCTCAGTTTCTGTAGTGCTTCATTTTTATGATTCAAGTGACATTTTTGCTGCTTACTCCACAGCTGTTTGTTCATGTCTTGTCTCACCAGTTGGAAAGCAGAAGTTATGTCTGTATTCATTCTTTATATTTGTTGTGCCTTTCATGATATTCACTTATAAAATGAATACATGTTTTAATATGCCTTAATGATGCTAATGCCTAAGGAGTAACCCCAAAAACTGTATCTTTTAACTCTTCACCCAGTGGTCATCCACCTTCATGCCATATCTCTCCCACAGCTCTTCCGACGCGTAGCAGCAGCTTTGCCTGGAATGGAAAGCACACAGGACAGAAGCAGAGAAGACAGTATCCTTTTCATTTCTTTAGAAAATTTATTGTTAATACAAGTCTTTAGAGACCTATTTAGTTGGCTGAGAAATATTGTGCCATTTTCTTTCACAGCCAGGAATTGATGGCTTGGGTATGCAGAAAAACAGGTTTTGGTAACAAATGAGGTCTTATCCAAGTGCACTCTTTGCAGCCTGCTATTCACTATAACCAGTGACTATTTGTTTGCTTGTTTGCTTTTTTTTTGATACCAGGGATCGAACTCAGGACCTTGCTCTTTCGAGACAGGCAGAAGAACCACTGAGCTAAATCCCTGGCCCTGCTTGCTTGCTTTTTAATGAACAGAAAACTTAAAATCCTAGTCTCCTGCTACTTCCTTCAGAGTCCTATTAGCTGTAGGCTTTTCCCCCACAGTATGTCGTATTTTCTTTTCATGCTTTTTCTAACATTTGAGCTTTCTTCTTGGCATTGGCAAGAACTAACTCAGAATTGAGCATTATCTTGGCCTCCACTTTCAGAAACAGTACATAATGAGGCATATCTAATAATTATTTCTGAGGATTTTGAGTTTTGATGTTCTACTGTTTTGTATTTACCTTCTAGCATTTTTCCATTTGCAGGCAGCCATAGAGTTTATAATACTTTATATTCACCTTTTCTTAGTTCTTAATGTTTTATATAGTGGTAGCTTGGTTCATGAACTCAGTTCTCTCCATGAGTCTGGTTGCAAACCAAACTAGATGAGAACTGAATCAAATTTCTCCATAAGGTCAACATTGAACCTAACGATTGAATTTGATTTGGTTCTCTTCCAACTTGGTTTGTGACCAGAATCGTGGAAAGAATCAAGTTTGTGAACCAAAGGACCATTGTATTTCCAAAGTTTTTTACTTTTGCTGGCATAATGTATTCTTAAGTGCCATCATTTATTAAAGTTTTCCCATTATTGGAACTCCTCTTTCTTGTAGGCTATTGTCAATGTTTATTATAGATAATTCTGTAAGGAATACTGTCTTCATATGTTTTTTTTTTTGATGCTATAGAATAACTTCCTCAGAATAGATTCCCATGAATAGGGCTTGTATCTTATTTGAATCCCTGTTGTATATACGAGTTTATGCCACTTAAGCATTTTGTAAGGTGAGGTAGCTATATAGAATATAGTGAGTGTGTAGACTCTGAAGTCTGATAGGAATATAAGGGGCTTCCAAGAGCTGACAGAGCTCAGCAGAATCCGAATTATACTTTGTTCATGGCTCCTTAACTTTTGTTTCAGTGATTGACATAAAGCTGGAAAAGCCTCAAGAGCAACCAGTCACCGAAGGAGGCTGTTCCTGCTAATCCCCCATAGCATCTTCAGCCCTTCTCCAGAAGCTCACTGCTTTCGCCCCTGTACTCTTTCATTGACTGCAGTGTGAATATTGGCTTGAACCTTTTCCCTTCAATAATAACATATTGCAATTCATCATTGCTGCCTGTCTCGTGGAGATGATCTATTAGCTTCACAAGCACAAAAAAGTCAGTGTCTTCGTTATTTATATTTTACAAAAAGCCAAAAGATTCCAGTGATAACTGAAGATTAGATACATTTTCTTAACATTTTTTCTTTTTTAATGTTATGATAACATACTTTAAAATGATGGAAGTGTCAGCAGTATGTGTGGCTTGGTTAAGGAGCAGTATGTTCACAGCTTTTGCCTACTTATTTGATCTCTTAGTACTTCTCTCACTTCTTCCTCATTTCCTATTCCTACCCTACCACAAGACAAGCAAGGTTGCAAGTACCAATAGGCCAAGATGTCCAAAATTATTCTTTTTTTTTCCAAAATTATTCTTGAGCACTGATATAAATTACTTAGCCTTCTTTGAGTCAAAACTTAGCTATCGGCCAGGTATTTAGCTCAGTGGTTTCGCTGCCTGCTGCGCAAGCGCAAGAACCCGAGTTCGATCCCCGGTACAAAAAAAACAAAATTTAGCTATCGTGGTGGGCAGTGTTTGAATGAGGAAAGGGTTATGCTGTATCTTAAAAATGAGTCCTCATGAACATACTGAGTACTCAAAAGTAGAATATAAAATGTATTTCTGACCAAAACAACCCTTTCACATGTGTTTTATTAGACTCTGGGAGACAAAAGTAACCAGTTAATTCTTCATGATAAAATCATAAAGTTCTAATGAACTGTTTCTCCCAAGATTTTAAGATTGTGCAGACAGTTATTCTGTTTGTTTTTTTTAATCTTATTAAGCAATAGACTTTGCTTATGTTTTCTTTTTTCTTCTTTTAAATGCTATGCAAGGAAGGCCTTGTAAAAGTCAGATTCTTTAAGAAGAACTAGTGGAAGAATTTAAGTTTCGCACCACAGTCGAAACTACTATAGCTTTAAAAAATGACAATATCTAAAGCTTACCAACAAAGAACCTTTGTAAAATAGCAAATACTCTTGCTTTGGACATTTGAGATCAATTGAAGATGGAAATAAGCCCCTAGAGCAGTGGTGGTGAACTTATGGTGCGCACACCATAACAGGCTGTTTGTGTCATTGAAAACTCTAAAAGGTTTGCCATCATTGCAGAGGGAGATCAGGAAAGCAAGTATTGAAGAGGAAAAGGAAAGAATGGGAATATAAGTCAATATTATGCAGATTTATGCCTTATTTTTTAGCATTTTTTAAATGTGGGTCTTCTAGGCTGGTTTTGCTTTTTATTAGATATATTTGGTTAATTAACTAGTGATTTAGTTTTATATTTAAGCTACAATTAATCTTGGTTTGGTGATATTTATTTCTTTGCTTTTTGTTAAACCCAAATTTTAGATGTTTTGTTGACTCCGTTTAGAACTTCACCCTGGCAATATGTATTTCCCTTAAAACACTGCAAACAAAAATATACTAGGAGTGCACCCTTTTAATCTTAACTAGTTATTGTGAGATTGCTGTGTAAGTTAATAAACACATTTGTAAATACATTGTTTGCAGGGAGAAAATTTCTCGAGTTAAAGCTCAGAAAAAGCCTGCTGAATTTATGTCGTAAGCATTACTTAACACAGTATAAAGATGAAAAGACAACAGAAATAACTTCATACTTCTTCATGTTCTCATTGCAACAGAACCCTTAACTGGGGAAACCTTACTTCTCTCTCTTCTTCCTCCACTTCTCACTATTGTCACCTTGTAATACTCAGAGAGCACTTGGATTTTGGATCTGAAGAGAGAAATGCTTTCAGATAATCATTAGCCCACATACCTGTAACTTATACTCAAAGATGGGATGGAGTTGTAAAGTGCTTTTATAATACAATATTACTGTTAAAAGCAAGGATTGACTCTTTTGTTTTATTTTGACATGGCATGTCCTGAAATAAATATTGATTCAATATGGCAAATGAATCACATTCTTTATTTGGAAGAAGTTGTGATTTCTGAAAAGGAGGTAATTGTCTTCCTGCACTGTTGCATTTGATTCTTTTTATGTATCTTTAAGAAAGTAACCAGTATGCTGCTTTTAATATTGGCCTTTTTATTTGGCTTGGAGTTCTTCAACTGAAGCAGTGAAGTGTGTTCATAGCCTAGATTAAAAAAACAAAACAAAACATAGTTTTGCTGCCAAAATATATATAAATAAAACATGAAAGAAAACAGTCACTGACTTTGGTTCCATTTTCTGCCAAGGTGTTGAATTAGCATATGCTTCTTCCTCCTTTTGTAGAATTACAAAGAGAACATGGAACTTAGAAAAATAACAAACATGAACAGATGTTTTAAAAACCCTGTGGAGTCAGAAGACTCTTTTCACCTATTGGGAGAGTGGAAGAGTGGCTGAAACTTGAAGAAGAGCCTGGTAGAGGGAGTAATAGGATATTCAGTCATGAGCCACATAACTCACATTTTTGTTCATGATAGACCATATATATGATGGTGTCCTCATCTGATTGTAACAGCTAAAAAAAATTCCTGTCAGCTAGTAATACCATAACATTGTAACATGACACATTCTTTACTTGTCTGTGGTGATGCTACAGACTTGCTGGGCTTCCATAAAAGTACAGCACAACTATGTACAATGCATAATACTTGATTTACTATGTTTCTGGTTTATTTACTTTTATCATTATTAAAAATAAAAAGGTTTTGATCCCCGTTACCAAAAAATAAACAAAATAAAAAGGTTACTATAAAACTGACATGTTACTCTAGCAGCAACCTCGTACATCCCATGTTTATCACATCTCATTGCATATTCTCATGCTTGATTAAATTTTGTGCCATTTTATTCATATGGCTCTAGGACGGTAGTGGTGACCCTATGGCATACATGCCACAGTGGGGACACAGAGGCCTCTCTGTTGGCATGCAAGCCAAGTGTATGAGTTGTGTTTTCTAAACTAAAACCTCCATTTTCAGATTTAATTGCAGTATTGGCGCTTCATGATAAATAAGTTGGTTTGGGATTGTTGTTTGGGCACTCGGTCTCTCAAACGTTTGCCATCACTGCTGTAGGAGAAATAGGTGGTAGCATACGTATATACCATACAACTATGTGTGTAGTAGGCTATACCATCTAGGTTTGTGTTAAGTATACTCTATGATGTTTGTACAATGATTTAAATTGTGTCCCTGTGTGGAATTACTATATTAAGAAAAGTAGGGCCAGGGATTTAGCTCAGTGGTTCCGCCACCCCGCCACCTGCCCCACAAGTACCCGAGTTTGATCCCCAGTACAGAAAAAAAAAAAGTTTTTTGGGTTTTTTTTGGTGTGTGTGTGTGATATTGGGGATTGCATTTAGGGCCTTCTGAGCCAATACCCCTCCCCACCCCCCAGGTTGGTTGGTTTTTGTAACAAGGTCTTGCTAAGTTGCCCAGGTTGGGCTTGAACTCAGTCCTCCTGCCTCAGCTTCCTAAAGTGCTGGGTTTCAGGTATGTTCCACCAAGACAAGTTTAAGTTCTGTTGCCTCCTCACTCCTAACCATACCTTTGCCTTGAGACGGGTGGAAAACTGTGGCCCTTCCACCAAATACAACCTGCTATACAGTAGTACCTTGGTTCACAAACTTGATTCTTTCCACAATTCTGGTTGCAAAGCAAGTTGGACAAGAACCGAATCAAATTCAATGGTTAGGTTCAGTGTTGACTTTATGGGAAAATTTGATTTGGTTCTCATCCAGTTCAGTTTGCAACCAGAATTGTGGAGAGGATTGAGTTTGTGAACTGAGGTACCACTGTACCTGTTTTCAAAATTAAATTTTATTGGAGATCAGCCATATTTTTGAACTATAACGATAAGAGTTGAGTAGTTGCAATAGATGTGATGGCCTGAAAAGCCAAAACATAATCACTGTCTGACCTTTACAGAAAAAAGGAGAACGCTTGCCTTAGGTCAAGCAGAGCTGACATCCATACTGTAGAAATGAAGGCCACATACCAGAATCCTGGTACAAGTGTCCACAGGGATAATTTTAGGGCAGCACAACTGTCTAGTGGGTTGATGAGAATAATGGTAGAGCTTTGGAATAAGATGCGGTCTTAGAAGATGACATTGAATGGGGCTACAAGCATATAGTTTTATGGTTCCTGGGACTCCACTCCAGTTTTATCACCTCCCTTCCTTAAATTGGCAGTGTAGTCTTTGGCTGTTAGCCTGTGTACTTTCCCAACTTACAGCCTGGACCCCAGGGAAATTTTAAACTCATATACCAGTGTAGGGGGATACCTGAAAACTGCCTCAAAAGGAAAAGTGAATACACCTTTTTTTTTTCTTTTCTTTTCTTTTTGGTACCGGGGATCAAACTCAGGTCCTTTTGCTTGTACAGCAGGCGGCGAAACCACTGAGCTAAATCCCTGGCCCTGAATACTTCTGAAGCAGAAATACTTTAAGAAAGCCAGTAATTTAAAGATGGTATAATAAATACTAAGGACATACGAGAAAATATTAACAATATAGAACAATAATAATCACAAGATAGAGCCAGATGTGGTAGTGCATGCCTGTAATCCCAGTACTGGGGAGTCTGAGGCAGGAGGATCGCTGTGAGTTCAAGGCCATCCTGAACTACATAGCGAGACACTGTCTCAAAAAAAAAAAAAATCACAAGATAACCAAAAACTTAAGTGTGAAAATATAATAATTGAAATGAACACATAAGATAAATAGCAGAGTGGGTTCCCTTGATTTAGAGTTGAAACACCTGTAATCCCAGCTACTCTGGAGTCTGAGACAGATTTGCAAGTTTGAAGCCAGACTGAATACCTTCTTTGTCAAAAAAATAAAAAGGGCTAATGTAGTTCAGTGATAGAGCTTGCCTAGCATGCACAAAACCTTGGGTTCAATCTCCAGTACTGCCAAAAAAATTTTCAATTTAAGAAAGAGAATCAGGGCCGGGGATTTAGCTCAGTGGTTCCACCGCCTGCCTTGCAAACACAAGGTCCCAAGTTCGATCCCCGGTACCAAAAAAATAAAAATAAAAAAGAGAATCAGAGGTCCAAGGGTGTACCTCAGAGGCACAATGCCTGTCTGGCAAGAGCAAGGCCCTGAGTTTGATTCCCAGTACCAAAAAAAAAGAAGAGAAAAGTTTAGGCTGGGGATGTAGTTCAGTGGCGCCGTGCCTGTCTGGCAAGCACAAAGTCCTGAGTTTAATCCTTGGTACCAAAAAAACAAAAAGAACCAGAAAGGGAGGGTAATAGCGTAAATGAAAACATCCAGTAGCAATTCCAGAAAGATAAACAGGAAGAATTAAAGTACTGGAAGCAAAAAGAATTTTGCACCAGCCCCTGATCCTTGCCTTCTAGAATGCATGTCCTTCTGTGGCCCCTTTCCCTTGAGTATAGGCTAGGTATAGTGACCTGCTCCTAAGGAATAGAACACATGATGTCACTTCAGCAATTAGATTCTGAAAGACTGGCTTCTCGTCTTCTTCCCTTCTCTTTACATCTGTATTCAGCAACCTACTGTGTTGAGAACTGCCAACAGAGAGGCCCATGTGGCAAAGAGCTGAGAGGGATCCTTCAGTCAGCAACCAGCCAGGGAGGAACTGAAGTCCTCAGTAGAACAGCCCACAAGAAAAGGAGGGTTAGGCATGATGGCACATGCCTGTAATCCCACCACTCAAGAGGATCACTGAGAGTTCAAGGCCAGCCAGGGTTACGTAGTGAGTTCAAGACTGGCGTGAACTATGTAGCAAGACCCTGTCTCAAAAAGAAAGGGCCGGGGATTTAGTTCAGTGGTTCCCCTGCCTGCCTCACAAGCACAAGGTCCCAATTTCAAGCCCCAGTACCAAAAGAAAAGAAAAGCCATAGACTGAAAATGTTTGATAAAGAGCTAGATTTTAAAATATTATAAAGAACTCATAATTTGATAGAAAAACAGTCTAGTAAAAAGCAGACAAAAGTCTCATAATTTGATAGAAAAATAATCTAGTAAAAAGCAGACAAAGGTCGGGTGTGGTGATGCATATCTATAATTCCAGCTACTCTGGAGATAAAAGCAAAAGGATCACAAGTTCTAGACCAGCCTCAGCATGAACAATTTTTTTTGTTGTTTTTTGAAATAGGGTCTTGCTATGTAGTTCAGGGTGGCCTTGAACTCACTATGTAGTCCAGGATGGCCCTGAACTGGTGATAATCCTCCTGCCTCAACCTCCCAACTGCTGGGATTACAGGCCTATGCCACCATGCCCAGCAGCCTGGGCAATTTAATGAGACCCTGTCTGAAAGTAAAATTTATAAAAGGGTTAGGGATGTAGTTCGCTGGTAGAATGTTGCTTTCCTAGTGTTATGTAATGCCCAGAGTTCAATCCCCAGTAAAAGCAGAGGGGGAAAGCAGGCAAAAGATTTTATAGACACTTAGGAAAAGAAAGGACATGAAATATAAATTGTCACTAAGGAAATGCAATTAAAGCCACAATGAGATACTTTTCCACACAAGAGAGAAGCTAAAATTAAAATCCCTAACCCTACCAAGGGTTGGTGAGAATAGAAATAATAAATAATAATGAACAAATAATAAAAACTGGCGGTGGAACCACTGAGCTAAATCCCCGGCCCAGAAATAATAAATTCTTAAAGCTAGCTGCCATCAGATTTTGGGAAAACAGTGTGGAAATTTCCTTTTTTTTTTTTTT